AGTTAGAGCGGGGCGTTACATTTTTTTGACACATCGTACACGGACTTAAAATGATCTCGGTCAAGAACAAAAAACCGACTTCCTGTACTCTTGTGATATCATCAATATTAAACAATTATCTTTTTGTTTTCGTTTAAACACACCTAGCTGTTCATAATTTTAAGTTGTTAATTACATACAACAACAGTGTGGCGCTAGAAGGAGGGTGGCAAGTGACCTCATACAAAATTTGAGGTTAACTTTTTGACCCGCTTTATACGTGTGTAAACAATACCTTCACACACATATTATCACTATGTCAAGTTACGGGTGACAAGAACGAAGTCCAGATGCTAGAACCAGTCGTCACCCTGTTCATACAACTGACGATTCAACTGTACCATCCATGACGATAGATTACTCTGTTCTATTCCAAGACCCAGAGTTCCTCAGAAATCTGTCTAATTTCATGGCACAAACAAGAGCGGAACCAACAATAACGGTTCCTAGTCAAGCTCATGCTACAAATCCTCAAGTCAGACAACGGACGCCGCCCGTTCAACAACAAAATAGTATTCTTGTTGCGTCTCATGCAACTTCTCACCCACGAACACCTGAGTCGCAACACAATAGTGCCGCTCACAATCGTGGTGTAATTCCTGTTAATAATCATCCCCCAGAGGGAGTTCAACCTGAAATCACTGCTGAAAGTCATTCTGGGCGTCGTCAACAGCAACCGGTGCCTCCTTCACCGATAGCTTCACAACATGTTCGACAGTCTGACTTACGTCATACAATTGAACGAAATCGGTTCCAACGTGAGAATGATGAATTACGTAATACTATCCAAAGGAACCGTTTAAGGCGTGAGTCGGAAGAGTTGGAAATGTTAAGAAAAAGAATTGTCGAGTTAGAAACTCGGCAAGACGGTCCTGAGGGATCCCAACAACGAGTTCCTCTCGCGGAAGATGTCTATTTAGAAGCCGAGACCCCATTGGCTCCTCATTTGACAAGGGAACCACTTCCCACCAAAGTTAAGGTCCCTCAAATCGATCTTTACGATGGTAGCTCAGATCTAGACGCACACCTTGGTCAATATACCTCGTGAATGGACCTTCATGGGGCAACCGACGCATTAAGATGTCGGATGTTTTCTTTAACCTTGGGACCTCGTGCTCAAAAATGGTACCACTCTTTACCCCAATGTTCAATTTCTAAGTGGCAACAATTGAGAACGGCTTTCCGATCTCATTTCATCGGGGCTCACTACAATAAATTTCGCAAAACATGATGAAAAAATTCATCATGTAAACCTTGTTTTTCGTCACAAAAGTATAATGGTGACGAAATTTTATCATCACAGCGATTGTCACCGTAGCCGCGTCATATTAGGTATAGGTGACAAATTTGGGATTTATCACCAAATGTTTCACTTATAACGACGCTTTTAAGTTTCGTCATGTTATTGGGTCATTTTTCGTGATAATAATTTTGTCACGTTTAATATGAAAAATTTGTCATATAAACGATTATTTTGTCATAAAAAGACAAGTTTTAAATGACGAAAACTTACATTCGCCATCTAAATATTATTGTTTAGTGACGAATTTTATTTTTTTTATCGAATCTATAAAATTTCAATGACGAATATATTTGTGGCATTTCTGTTAAAATAATTGTCATGTTTCATAGAATTCGTCATCAAAAAGTTGTTATATAATTACAAAATATTAGTTGTCATAAAAAGAAATTTTCAATATGACGATAATAAAAGTGTCACAAAAAATAGAAGTAGTGACGAAATATTATTCGTCTCAAAAAACATATAAAAGCGACGGAATCTTTTGTCGTGAAATATTAGCTTTATGATTACGAAAAAAAGGATTGTCATCAAAAGCTTGAGATATAATGACAACATAAGTTGTCATGAAAAGGTAAATATTAAGTGACAAAAGTTATTGTAATTTTAACATTTTATATAGTGACAAATCCAAACAAATACATCACGACTACATGTTGTCAAAAAAAGGTTATTTTCAATGACAATTTAAAATTAGTCACTATTACAAATATAATAATTGTCATTAATTGCAGATATTTAGTGATATATTTATTTGCCATGAAATATATGATACAGTGACAAAATCTATCGTCAGTCTAAACAATTACGTCATTAAAAAGAAATTACAGTGACAAAATCTTTATAATTAATATATGATGGTAATATGTTCTAGATGATAAATAAAAAAATCGACAGTAATAGTAATTTTACTAATTAAACATAAATAAACGAACTAACAATCTTAAAATGTGTCAAATAAAATAATAATAATAATAACAAAGCCTAACAATCTCAGATTTGGATCCCAGTGGCAGCCATGAAAGCCATAAGTTTGTCGACTTTTGCACCTTGTTGACTTAGTTGATTTTTCAAATCACTAACTTGGTCCTTAAGCTCAAGCACTTCAGATTCTTTTCCACGCAGCTTTTCTTGTGTCTCTAGAAGTTCCTTCTGACCGTTCGAGTCATATGCTTTGCGTCTACTTGGCGGCCTCGGGCCATACCCATAACCTTTTATATATCTAGCTCCATGGCCAAGAACCTCAAGAAGTATATCTTGTGCACTCTTCTCAGTGCCTTGTTCAGAATATTTTTCTCTTCTTGATATCATCAAGTCTTGACAAATAGCAATAAAAACAATATAATCATATTGATATTCATTTCAACAATTAGAATAAGAAATTAGAATAAGAGATTGTGCATGCAACTTACCCAGTTTTCTTCTGCCTCTTTTGTTGACCAACCATCTTTTTCCTTATAATGCGTACGCTTATAAAGTGCAATCATATCTAGTGGTCCTCCATTCATCTCCTTCTCAGACTACAAGATTTTTTTAACAATAAACATAAATAGTTTAAATTAAAAAAAAAAAAAAAAAACTAATGATCATAAATAAATTAATATCTTGAACATAAACTTACTATTTCATGTTGAAGAACAGTAAAAGGTGTTCGGCCCGAAACATGTGGAGCGCACAGCATTTGTCGATTTATCCCATTAATCAAACTTTGGTGCTGCCAAAACACAAATACTATTATTGAACACTAGAAAACTAAAAATAAAACTACAAATTTAATATGCAAATAAAAGAATAATGTTATAATGCATTACCTTGAATTTAGGCGATGCAAAAAGCTCACACATTTCTTCCCAGTTTTCTTGACCAGCACAAAAAGACGGCTTGTTATTCTTAGCTTCTTCATGGGAGGAATATTTCTTATAATGTTGGTGTAGTCTGTAACGTTTTTTCCGTGAACTAGCTTGGACTCTATCAATCACGCAACGGATCATCCAAGTTAATATCCATGTGGATCTACACAAATAAAAATGAGATTATTTAAGGTGATATAAAAATGTATTCATGCAACTTGAAAAGTGTTTCTAATTTTTATCTTTATATGATCAATGGCAGGTTGAAGATCTTTTTCTTCATCAACATCTTTCCACCTTATTGGCACCGGAAGGACATCTCGAGTGACTACACCAATTTGACTAGAAAATTTTGAAGACTCGTCTCTCCTTTTAGGTGTTCCTATCGATGGATCCACAGTTATCTTCATTTTTTTACCAGAAGCCTGAAATGCCTTCATAATACCTTTGCCCATTGTTTGTCCACGCCTTTTCTTACTGGTGGTATTGGTATTGGTGGTATTGGAAGCTGCATGTTCACCACTCAATAAGTATGATGGTTATTTTAATTAGTCGAAAGCTTCCTAATCATAAGATTGTATTTTATCAAAACACTGTGAAAGACAAAGGCACATGTCTATATATAGAAAAAAAAAATATAGTTTATACCTATATTTAATTGAGTTAGTTAAACAAAATAAGTCACCCACATTAATTTTACTTTGATTTGATTCATTAAAGCTCAAACACAAGCTCATTCTAACTCTTAACTCAAAAAGTTCTTTTTTTTTTTTTATTATATATATATTATTAAGCTCGTTTAGACATGCATACATCTTGTCAATATTTACAACACAGTCATACACGAACTCATTTATATGCACATTTACACAACTCGGTGAAGGATCGACACAAGTTCTAATATCCAAAGCTTAAACTCAACACTACTCGTTAACATTTTTCAAAGTCAAACAAACAGACTGTCGCATCTTCTCAATGAGACAACTCATCGACCCATCATTTTTTTTTTTTAATTTTTAACCGAACATGTACTTAATATTATAATTGTCATACTTTCATTTTTTAGAATATGTTATTTTAATTCAAAAGATGAAAAAAAAAACTGTAAATATGATTAAATCATCAGTAGCCCTAACATAAAACCTAAATCCATTTTCATACACCAACATGACATAATTTATCTGATTCTGAGTCTTACGGATCTCAAAATCTCCATTGTCAATGCATATTATTCTATTCTTAGTAGCACAATATTAAATGAATACGCAATTTAAAAGTAATCATATAAAATTTCAAGTTGTCAACTATGAAACACGTCACAAATGCTCCCATGTGACTCTTTTTCAAGATTCTACCAAATCTAAACTCTCAGAGGTAAATGGAGTAGCATTTTATAACATTTATAAGTAATGAGTGCACTCATATTAGATTGTAAGTGAAACCAAAAGCAAAATAACAAAACTAAAGCGCCTTCCTGCTAATTTAAGAGATTCTGATTAAATTATACTATACACTCAACTGGAAGCTAGATTCTGATCAAATTATAATATACACTCAACTGGAAGCTACGCTAACAATCACTTTTTTAAGTGACTTCAAAATACTCCCTATTTTTCCCAAACAGTATCACTTGTTAAGTGCTCCCTTTTTCCCTTTTAACTCCAACATCTACTTCTCTATATATGTACATACTAACAAAGAGTTGCTTCTTTTATTATGACGCACAGTACATGAAAAAACAAAGTTCATGAAACAACACAACACAGTTCATGAAACAACACGACAACACAATAAAAGTTTTAGAGTATTAGCTATGTACCAATGATATCTTCCTGTGATTGAGAATGTTGATTTCCCTGATGTGATGGAGGATCGGGAGTGCTTTCATTTTGCTGAGTACCTTCAAGAGTCATCTCCTTCTGTTGAGTTTGAGGAGATTGGATATTTGGCATAAAAGTACTCTCCTTTTGCTGAGTTTGAGGAGACCGAACATTTGGCAGGTTAATGGCAATCCTTTGTTCACTTTGTCTGATCCCATATTAGTCTTCTCGGATCGCTAATTTTTACCCCTTGCTAAACTTCCTGTCTTCGTCATGTGATCTATGACACTCTGCTGAGAATTCGATATGAATTTTGTTCTTGAATTCCGAACTAATCCAGGAGCCATTTGTAACCTTTTGTATCAGGCAAAAAAAAAAAAAAAAAAAAAAAAAAAAAAAACCATCAGAATGAAAAGTAATGCATAACTGATTGATTGATGTAAAATAGAAACAAATTGGTGTAAGGCATAACATAAAGAACCAAGATACTACGAGAGAGTCTTCTTCCAAAACAATCGATTGTTGTATAATAGAAGGCGGGTTATCTTTGAGACTTTGATAATTGTTAGCCTAAACTTTTACTTATATGAGTGAAAGGGGGGAGAGATATTTGCTGAAGATACGGTCAAAATAATTTCAGTGTTTATCTACCTTAAATATATAAGATTACCAAAATTAAACTAACTAGTGAGCGCTAAAGCAAATTTTTTGTCCGCCAATGTTTTAGTCATCCAAAGTTCACCATAATACCCTTTTCAGATCTTAACACCTAAAAAACCAAAAAACAGGCCAATTGATATGCAAAGAAAGTGAAAGCCCCGAACCTGTGGTGCCCAATGACCATGGGCGTTACAATGTCTCTGGCAAGCCTCTGCACCACCGTGACCTACGACCAGACCTCCATCGAGAAGTGGTTGTCCCTCGGCCACAACACCTGCTCCATCACCAATGCAGAACCGGCCGTCCGACCGCACCACCCCCAACCTCACCCTCAGCTGCCTCTTCGACCTCGATCACGCACGATCGTCGTCTCCGTCCTCGTCCTCGCCACCGATATCGAGCAGCAGCAAGTGGCTGACGTCATCAAGGCAGATGTTTCAATTCGGATAACCTCGTGAAATTTTCTCCTCAATTGGTGAATCCAAACCAATTTGCAGCCTTCGGATTAAAAATGAGTCGAGATTGTTCGACCGTAGCGGATAGCGATCTGAATTGTAGGGTTTGTGTTTTTTGTTTTAGGAAGGAATTGAGGAAGATGAACGGGATGAGATGTGAAAAAAGAGCGAGAACGATATTGTTCCATTTTTGTGAACCGGGTGATTTTTGGGTATAAATGATGTGAATTTTTTTTTGTTCTTAATGGAACACTAGTAATTTTTGTTTATTAGTAAGGTTAATAAGGTATGTGAAATAATATTTTACTGGTACAATACCCGTGTATTACACGAGTGTTGAATTAAAGATATTAAATTTTTTATTTTTTTTTCAAAACTAAAATAATTTAATTTTATATAAAACCTTACTTTGGGTTTTAATTAAATTGTTAAATTATATTTTTTAAGCCTAATAATTAAATACCCGTACCTTAAATGAAAATTTTCAACTCGTGTCGAATTGTTTTTTACTTATATCATATAAAAATATTGATGTTATTTAAGTATATCTATATATAATGTAAATGCGTGCGTTCCTGCAAGATAGACATACCGTGGGTGTTTGATTTTTCTCAATTCTTCAATTATAAGTTTCAAAAAATAAATAATTTGATAAGAACAATTAAATTTGAGAACTACGATTAGCAAAAAGCCCAACAACAATTCAATGTCTAAAAAAATACCATATATTCTTATTTATTAATACTACCTACTATTCTTTTTAAATGTCATTTTGGCTTTATCAACCATTAACCAAATAAATGTCGTTTTAGATTTTTTGTACATGTTTTTTCATTATTACCCTCATTTAGCTAATAAATACACTATGTCTTTTCATATTCATTTTTCATCTTTTCTCAAAACATTCATCTCTATCTTCATTAGTGAAGGTTATTATTGTAAAAAAAAATATACTCTTAATTACTATGCTACTTCTCAAAACGACACTTATTATGAATAAGAGGGAGTACATATTTAGAACAAAAATATTATCTTCAATGGACGGACTACTTCTCGAGGAGCTTTGATAAGATTAACACATCATAGAAATGCATAATAATTAAACTAATATTGGACAATAAATGCACCTCGGGATTGTGAAAAATGCACTCAATATAATGCGTGAATATGTCAATATATTACCAAATAAAGATTAATCTTGAATCTCTAAAGATACATGCTTTCTTGATCCTACCAATATATCAAGCATGAATATGTCAAGAAAAATGATTATATTACGTGTGAATATACAATGACTTACCAAATAAATATAAAATGACTTAAAAAAAATATTTCAATATTTAACAGAGAAATGTAGGAGGGAAAAAGTTAGCCAATTTTGACAAAATGGATTGATTCATTATATAGATATAGATGTGTATAGAAATACATATTATATTTTCAAATTTTAAAAATCCACAATATTTTTTACCTTTGATGTTGAGATTTGATATTTTAATATTTTTTAATAATATATATATATATGTATGTAACGCTCCGAATATTATTATGTTATTAAGACTGTTGATAACCGACTTGGTTTTGATTTGGTTTTGAAGAATTAAAATCAGTGATTAGTGGATTCAGTAAAATAAATTTCCAGGAAGAAACAAACTTAAGCCAAGTCGGAATTTTCAGAAATAATTACCGACTTCCGAGATCATTAAAGGTACCGACTACAGAAGCAGATGCAAATAGCCGACTTCATTTCAACCAATATTATGATAAGTCGAATCAAGTTTTATCTGTTAAAACCGACAGTCAAAAAATTCGAATATCAAAGAAAAAGATAGAGCTGTAAGCATGTGATTGGATCGTCAAGATGATAGAGCAATCATTGATGTTCCCCAAATCAAAAACACATCACTTTGTTGAAGCTGCTCAACATTAAATACATTCTTATCCATCTCTAGCAAGAAGACAAAAACTACCGTACTATAAATAGCAGAATTTATGATAGTACGAGGATCTTTTTTCCTTCTTTTAAACACACATTGTACATGGGCTAGAATTGATCTCGGTTAAGAATAAAAAAAAACCGATTCATGTACTCTTGTGAATATCTCAATAAAATCCAACTTTATATTAATCTTTGTTTCAGCACACCTTGCTGTTTATAATTTCAAGTTGTTAATTCTAGACAACAACAGTTTGGCGCTAGAGGAAGGGGGGCCTGAACCTTCGAATCTTCGATCTGTTCTTTGTTTTTATATAAAGCTTAATTATAAACAAACACAAAAATCATGTCAAGCTCTGGGCAACACGAACGTAATCCAAATATTGGAACCAATCGTTACCCTGCTTACACGACTGAAAATTCAACTGTGCCATCTATGCCGATAGATTACTCTGCTTTATTTCAAGATCCAGAGTTCTTGAGAAATTTAACTGATTTTATGGCACAAACAAGAGCAGAACCAACTGCAGTTGTTCATAATCGAACTCATCCTTCACATGTTCGACAGCCAAATGATATTCCTACTGCATCGCATGCGACTTCCCATCCACAAATACCTGAGACCCATAATCGTGGAGTTGTTCCTGTTCAAAATCATATTCCAGAAGCAGCTCAACCAGAAGTTACCGCTGAAAGTCATTCTGGGCGTCGACTGCAACGGCCAACACCCTTGCTGCCGGAGACTTTACAGCATGGACAACCATCTGATTTGCGACGTACTCTTGAACGAAATCGCGTCCGACGAGAGCATGATGAGTTACGTCGTACTATCGAAAGGAATCGTTTAAGACGTGAGTCGGAGGAATTGGAGATGTTAAGAAGAAGAATTGCTGAGTTAGAAACTTGGCAAGACGATCATGAGGAATCTCAACGACAAATTCCTATGGCGGAAGAGGTATATCAAGAGGTTGAGACTCCCTTGGCTCCTCATTTAACCAGAGAACCTCTTCCTGTCAAAGTTAAGGTTCCTCAAATCGGTCTATATGACGGTACCTCTGATCCTGATGCTCATCTTGGTCAATACACTTCATGGATGGATCTCCACGGGGCAACCGACGCACTTAGATGTCGAATGTTTTCATTGACTTTGGGACCTCGAGCCCAAAAATGGTATCATTCCTTACCCCGGTGTTCAATTTCCACATGGCGACAATTAAGAACGGCTTTTCGATCTTATTTTATTGGGGCCCGAGTCTCTTTAATCCCCAAAGAATCGATTGCTAATATTGTGCAAAAAGATGATGAAAGCGTAAAAGATTATATTGCTCGGTTTAATGAACGAATACAAAATATGGAACAATGTCATCCTGAAACGTTGCTAGTCACAGCCATAGCCGGATTGAAGCCAAATTCTTTGTTCCGTTGGAGTATCTGTCAGAATAAACCGACGTCATTCCAAGATTTCCTAGCTCGAGCTCAACAACATATTATAGCTGAAGAATCAATGTCGGTTCCTGCCATCGACTTTTCTTCACATAAGTCGGAAGTCGGACAAGAATCGAAAAAGAAGAAAAATAAATTCTTCAAACAAAATAAATCTCGATTTGGGAATCCTAAGATGCCTGAGGTGCAAGAAGCTAGAACCAAATATCTTAATGAAGTCAAATCCAGTTATCAGGCGGTTTTCTCAGCAGGAGCAGCAACTATATTTGAAGAATTGAAAGGGAAAGGAATCCTTCCTGATCCTCGACCTGTGAGAACTCCAGAAGAAAGACTTGATAAGACGAAATATTGTTCATATCACAAGTCGGCAGGTCATGATACTGATGAATGTCTTGGTTTGCTTTCTGCCTTATTACGACTCATTGGACATCCTCAAGTCCAAAGGTTTGCCAAAAATGTAGATTATAAACGAAAGGGCAGATTGTTAGACCTACCAGATGATGATGAAGATGATGGTCATCCAATCAATCTAAAGCGGGTGAGGCCAAGTGATAAAGAAGTATTCATGATGAGCTCGAAAGAAAATAATTCGTTGAAAAATACCGAAACGATTCAACGAGGAGGATATTCCAATCCTGATGATTCTCATCATGTTACCCGAGTCAATAACAGTAACAATACGTCGTTTGAATCACGACGACAAATGAAAGCATATGCTCGAAAAGCTTATAATTCGGGTAAAATTGTTCTGGCAACTGACCTCCGAGATAAAATTAATGCTCGAAATAATTGTCCAATAACATTCAGTGTGGATGATGCTAGCTATTTCGCTCACCCACATGCTGATCCTCTAGTGATAACGGCACCCATTTGTGGTATACCAGTACATCGCATACTAGTGGATACAGGAGCATATTCAAGCATCTTAATGCTACGCACGTTCGAACAAATGGGAATAGATCCAGCTGAATTGAAACCCTGCAAAGATCAAGTACAAGGTTTTAATGGCACGATAACATCGACCATTGGTGAAATTACTATGCCAATTCGGTTTGGAATTCCTGGACAAGCTTCAA